GAAACCGATATCCATTTCAAGCCTACCGACTCCCACAGCTACCTAGAATACACCTCCTCTCACCCACCTTCCTGCAAAAATCCCATCCCCTATTCCCTTCGCCTCCGCCGCATCTGCTCCCGAGATGAGGCATTCCACTCCCGGACATCCCAGATGTCCTTGTTTTTCAAGGACCGCAACTTCCCCTCCACAGTGGTCGAAAACGCTCTCGACTGTGTCTCTCGCATTTCCTGCAACTCATCCCCCACACCCCCTACCCGCAATAACAACCAAAACAGAATCCCACTTGTCCTCACGTACCACCCCACCAACTTCCGGATCCAACGCATCATGCTCCAACACTTCCACCATTTGCAATCCGACCCCACCACCAAAGACATTTTTCCCTCCCCACCCTTATCTGCTTTCTGGAGGGACCACTCTCTCCGTGACTCCCTTGTCCGCTCCACACTCCCCTCCAGCCCCACCACACCCGGCACTTTTCCCTGCAACTGCAGGAAGTGCTACACCTGCCCCTACACGTCCCCCCTCACCCCCATCCCAGGCCCCAAGAAGACCTTCCACATAAACAGATGTTCACCTGCACATCTACTAATGTGGTATACTGTATCCCCTGTTCCCGATGTGGCCTCCTCTACATCAAGGAAACCAAGCGGAGGCTTGGGGACCGCTTTGTGGAACACCTATGCTCGGTTCGCGACAAACAACTGCACCTCCCAGTTGTGAACCATTTCAACTCCCCCTCCCACTCCTTGGACGACATGTCCATCCGGAGCCTCCTGCAGTGCTACAACGATGCCACCCGAAGGTTGCAGGAACAGCATCTCATATTCCGCTTGGGAACCCTGCAGCCCAATGGTATCAATGTGGACTTCACAAGCTTCAAAATCTCCCCACCCCCGACCGCATCCCAAAACCAGCCCAGCTCATCCCCGCCTCCCTAACCTGTCCTTCCTCCCACCTATCCCCTCCTCCCACCTCAAGCCCCACCCTAACTGACTATCCCCTCCCTAACTCCCCACCTACACTCACCTTTATTGGCTCCATCCCCGCCTCTTTGAAGTGTCTGTCTCCTGTCCACCTATCTTCTCCTTTATCCATCTTCTATCCGCCTCCCCCTCTCTTCCTATTTATTTCAAAATCCCCTTCCCCTCTCCCATTTCTGAAGAATGGTTCAGACCCGAAACGTCAGCTTTCCTGCTCCTCTGATGCTGCTTGGCCTGCTGTGTTCATCCAGCTCTACATCTTGTTGTCTATGTTGGAATGATTTTGTTTTCCACAAGAAACTATGCTGATTTTTCTTTTAAACCCTCATATTCTGCATTCACAGTTTCCATGAATTTATTGAAACACTAACTGATTTATGCACTCAAGACTTAAAAGCTTGCATTCTAATTATTGTTTTTATCCTCCCCTTCCCCGTACATAAGGAACTGAAATGTTTCTGCCAGGATTGAAGATTCGCCTGTTCTTTAGTAGTGCCATGGGATCTTAGGTCTAACCGTGTAGACGGATGGGCTCTGAAAGACAGCGCTGTATGCCCTCAGTGCTGCACTGGAGTGTCAACCTGGATGAAGTGTTTAGGTTTCTGAGTGGGATTTGTATCTTTTGCTGAAGAGATAACAGTGTCACCACTGAGACACTAAATGACAAACACATTAAGCTTTTTTAATGATGTGTCCCAATCAAGAGTCAACTGAAAACAACAGGCTGCATGTTACAGTTTCGATCTTATAGTTCAATGTCAGAGAATTACAATAAACTAATAATTGCAATGATTATTGCAATAAGGCTATACTTAAAATAATTAGCATTCAAATCACTTATATTTCACCCTCCATTTTTTTCTCTCCCTCCACTAGACCTACTCAAGTTGATTGTGCACAGCTCCTCAGATACTCGATTGCACTTGGGTCTTCAGCTAAATATCTGTCATCATTCATCAGTTGTGCAGCTAAATATGTTCGGCCTGACTGTCCGTGAACTGGGAAGCTAAAAACCAACAGGATAATTTCAATTGTTGAGGGATTTGACTCCTTTTCAATCAATTGTAGCTCGGCTGCAACTTGCTGCTGCAAACCTCCCTGATGTCAGCCATCTTTGTTTTTCTGTCCCTGTCTTGCTCCCTCCTTCCTTCCCTAACAGTAATACTGTTACATCCGATTCTAGCTTGTTCCTCTCAAACTGCACTGTGAATTTTATCACGTTTTGGTCACTAGGGGGTTCTTTCACCTTAAGCATCCGACTCAAGTCTGCCTCATTTCATATCATCAAATTCAGAATTACCTGTTCCCTCCTTGGCTCTACCACCAGTTGCTCCAAAAAGAAATCTCAGACATTCCTTAAATTCGTTTCATTGGGATCTGCTCCCAACTTGACATTCCCAATTCTACCTGCCTATTGAAGTCCCTCATGATTATTGTAATAGTGCCTTTCTTACATGCCTTTTCTATCTCCTGATTTATTTTCAGGCTCACATCCTGACTACTGATGGACGCCTGTACACAACACCCATCAGGGTCTTTTTATTTTTGCAGTTCTTCAACTCTACCTGCACAGATTTTACGCCTTCCAACTCTATATTGCTTCTTGCTATTGATGTAATTTCATTTCTAACTAACAAGGCATCCCTGTCCCCTCTACCCATCTGCCTGTCCTTTCGATAAGGTCAAGTATCCCTGGATATTTAGTTCCCAGCCCTGGTCCCCTTGCAGCCACCATCTCTGTGATGCCCATAAGATTGTACCTGCCAATTTCAATCTGCACGATAAGCTTATTTACTTTGTTTCATAAACTGTGTGCATTTAAGTACAACACTGTCAGTCCTACATTGACTACCTGCCTTCTCATAGTTGTGCCTCTTATCTGCTGCATCTGAAATTAAATTCCTGAGCCTTTCCATACTCTCTGCCCTAGTACTTGTTCTGAAAACTTTAATAACCTCTCCTGAGCACCCCCACCCAACTCCATTTTAACTAGTTTACAGCCTTTGTGACCACATATTTAGCCTTTCTGCTAAGATCCTAGTCCCAAATCAGTTCAGGTGGAGCCCATTCTGATGGTACAGTTCCCTCCTATTCCAACACTGATGCCAGTACCCCATGACATGGAATCCCTCTTACCCACACCACTACTTTGGCCACATGTTTACTTCCCTAATCTTCTCCCCTGTTTGCCAATTGGCTTGTGACTCAGGTGATAATCCAGAAATTAAACCGTTGAGGTTCTGTTTATAATTTTGTTCCTAATTCCTGATATTCCCTAAACAGGACCTCTTGCCTCCTCTTGCCTTGAAGCAACGTACAAGGTGAGTTAGTCTTAGCTGCTCCGCACATTGTTTGGTGATTTACATGTCCTGTCAGTACAGCCCACATATAATCAGCAGTAACAGCAGGCCAGAGATCCTGCAGTTACACCCTCAGAGTTATAGTTACCATAGAATCGTAGACTCCCTACAGTGTGGAAACAGGCCATTCTGCTCAACAAGTCCACACCGCCCCTCTGAAGAGCATCCCACCCTGACACATTCCCCTACCCCTGCAATTTCCCATGTTTAACCCAAATATCCCGGGACACTATGGCCAATTTAGCATGGCCAATCCACCTAGCCTGCACATCCTTGGACTGTGGGAGGAAACCCACGCAGACTCAGGGAGAATGTGCAAACTCCACACAGACAGTCGCCCGAGGGTGGAATTGAACCCGGGTCCCTGGTGCTGTGAGGCAGCAGTGCTAGACATCATGCAGCGCACAATATCTAATTACTGGCATATGTGGCAACTACTGAATGACCTCCTTAATGCTAGAAGTGCCATGAAGTCACCTTGCATTTGTCATTGCAACATATCCTGCTGGTATCAATTTTGAGATCATAGAAACACAGAAACTAGGAATGTACAGTAAATGGGATTTATTGGAATAACATTCCCTGTGTATTTGTGTGCAAACCTGGTTAATACCACTGGCTATGTATTAGACAGAGCTGTGTGCACCAAACATATACAACACTGCCTCACAAAACACTGTGCACTGCAAACTTCCTCCTGGCATTAAAGCAAATTGTCAGCCCAGGTCGAAGACTGCACTTTAAATTTTTCACCAGGATAGAGTTCAGTGGAAACTGAAACAGGCACAAGTTGGAATTAATTACTTGGTAGACAAATTGCTAATTTAAATTCCGACATTATAATAGTAACTTTCTCTTTCAGCTTTTGATAAGTTACCTGTACCATCTACAAGATGCACTGCAGAAATTCGTCAAAGATCTTCAGACAGCACCTTCCAAACCCATGACCACTTCCATCTAAAAGGACAAGGGCAGCAGATACATGGGAATACCACCCCCTGCAAGTTCCCCTCCGAGCCACTCACCATCCTGACTTGGAAATATATTGTCACTGTCACTGGGTCAAAATCTTGAAATTCCCTCCCTAAGGGACACTGTGGGTCTACCTACAACACATGGACTCCAGCTCACCACCACCTTCTCAAGGGACAGTGAGGGGCAAGCAATAAACGCTGGCCCAGGCAGCAACATCCACGTCTCATTAATGAGTAAAAGAATGGGATCGTCATAATGCTGGTCAAGCATTATATCCTGCTCCCTTCATACTAAAAATTATTTTTTGATTTGGCAGGAAGATTCACAGCAACTAAACCTCCCCACCTCAAAACACACCAACGTCCCTGTGCTAGTGGCCACGAGTTCTGGACTGAGATTCAAACCCTGGCTTTGGACTCAAATGCAGAAGAGATACCAATTTCATCTCTCAGACTCCTATGTTACACCTAGTGGTATTATTACTGCCCTGTTAATCCAGAGACCCAAGCAATGTTCTGGGGACTTGGGTTCAAACTCTGCCAGGGCAGATGGTGAAATTTGAAGTTAATAAAATTCTGGAATTAAGAGTTAAGATAATGAGGGAAACCATTGTTGATTGTCAAAAATAAAAAAATCTGGTTCCCTAGTGTCCTTTAGGAAAGGAAACTGCCATTCTCACCTGGTCTGGCCTCCAAGTGACTCCAAACCGACAGCAATCAATCTGGGGACTAAACATGGACCGAGCCAATGATGCCCTCATCCTATGAATGAATGGAAAAAAAATTGCAGTATTGTACAAAAAGGATTTGGTTGTAAAATACTTTGAGATTTCCAAATGCAGCTGTATCTATTTTCTTCAGTACACTGTAAAACAAAACACAGCACATACTTGACATCAGAACTAGAATAAGAAAATGCTGGAGACTGGCAGGCAGCATGTTTGGAGAGAGGAACAGAGTTAATTGTTCAAGTCACCCTCACAGAGGTGTGTTGCCCACAGTCGAACTAACAGTTAACTAGATTTAATAGCTGGTTTAATAACCTGATGTAAAGTTGTTGTTTATTATTACAGGGCTCAAACAAATGTTTATTTGCACATAGATTGTTTAATGAAGCACAGTACCTGGCATCTACTGAAAGTGTACTGAGAGGAACATGCAATAAGAATATTCACAATGATGCTTGTCATTTTGAGAATCTCTGTTGGACGAGAAAGATCTATTTTTAGCTTACCAAATTGCAGCTGTTTTCACCATCTCCAGCTTCAATCTTCATTCACTTTCTGATGATAGCATTGCTTCTTTCGGAACGCTCGTTCAATTCGGATCATCAATTTTAGAGAAAATCATATTCCATTTCAGCTCTCCACTCTTAATCTCTTGGGTGTCAAAAACTGACACTTCTGCCAAATCCCTGATGGAAATATTCTCAAACATGATCCATTTCCCATGCAGATACTAAACTAACAGCACAAAGTAAACGTGGTAAATGTACTGGAAGGTAGAATAGTTTGAATATCTGCATCAAATCGGTTTGATAGATATTAAGAGACCTGGATTTGAGAATCTAGGTTATAATTTCAAAGTTTGCAACTGATAGGTAACATGTAAATTTAACTAAGAGACGCAGGAGGATGTGGACTGCTGATGTCAGCAGAAACATAACAGATGAAAGTTAATACCGAGAAGTGTGAAGTGACATATTTTTGTGGGAGAAATGGGGAACACAGTGAATGAAACTTTACAATTTTAAAGAGAATATTGTAATAGAGGGGTCTGCAGTGGTGAGGGGCGATGGATAGCACTTATACACAAATCTTTGGAGGGAGCAGGATATATTGATACTGATATATTGTTACTGAACAAAGAGACCTTGGGGTGCAGGTTCATAGTTCCTTGAAAGTGGAGTCGCAGGTAAGCAGGATAACGAAGGTATGCTTGCCTTTATTGGTCAGTGCATTGAGTATAGGAGATGGGAGGTGATGTTGCGCTGTACAGGACATTGGTTAGGCCACTTTTGGAATACTGTGTGTAATTCTGGTCTCCCTGCTATAGGAAGGATGTTGTAAAACTTGAAAAGGTGCAGAGAATATTTACAAGGATGTTGCCAGGGTTGGAGGGTTTGAGTTATAGGGAGAGGCTGAATAGGCTGGGGCTATTTTCCCTGGAGCCTCGGAGACTGAGGGGGTGACCTTATAGAGGTTTATAAAATCATGAGTAGCATAGATAGAGTAGATAGACAAGGTCTTTTCCCTGGGGTGGGGAGTCAAAAACTAGAGGGCATAGGTTTAAGATGAGAAGGGAAAGATTTAAATGGGACCTGAGGGGCAACTTTTTCACGTAGAGGGTGATGCGTGTATGGAATGAGCTGCCAAAAGAAGTGGTGGAGGCTGGTACAATTACAACATCTAAAAGGCATCTGGATGGGTATATGAATAGGAAGGGTTTAGAGGGATATGAGCCAAATGCTGGCAAATGGGACTAGATTTATCTAGGATATCTGGTCGGCATGGATGAGTTGAACCGAAAAGTCTGTTCCTGTGCTGTACATCTTTATGACTCTGTGCTATTTTACATAAAGCATGTTACTCCCTTTCTTAAAAATTTGCTCATGGGATGTGAACATTGCTGATGTGGCTGTATTTATTGCCCATCCCTAGTTGCTCTTGGGAAGGCAGTGCCTTCTTGAATCACTGCAGTCCTTGAGAAGTAGATAAATCCACAATGCCATTATGGAAGGAATTCCAGAATTTTGGGCCCATTTAGAGAAAAGGAATGACAATATATTTCGACTATATTTAGCAATGGCCTAGTGGTATTATTGCTGAACTGTTGATCTAGAGACACAAATAATGTTCTGGGGACATGAGTTCGAATCTCATCATGGCAGATGGTGGAATTTGAATTCAATTTAAAAACAACTGAATTAAATGTCTACTGCTGACCATAAATCCATTTCTGATTGTTGGGAAAAACCCATCTGGTTCATTAATCAGGGAAGGAAACTGCAATCCTTACCTGGTCTGGCCTACATGTGACTCCAGACCCACAGCAATGTGGTTGACTTTTAACTGCCCTCTGGACAATTAGGGACGGGTAATAAATGTTGCCTTGCCAGTGATGCCCTCATCCCATAAATGAATAAAGAAAAAATGTAGTCAGAATGGCAAGTAGCTTAGAGGGGATCTTGCAGCTGGTTCCCCACGTATCTGCTGCCCTTGTTCTTCCAGATGGAAGCAATTTGGAAGATGCTATCTCAGGAGCATTGGTGAGTTACTGCAGACAAATTGAACACATGAGCAAGATAGTTATACTGAACTTATGTGAAGAGGTATCTGCTGAAATATTGTGGTTGTTTATGATCAGCACACTTTAGGAAAGAATGCTGAAGCCTAGAGTAAGTGCATAAGAGCAGTTCTAGAATCCTATCAAGGACAAACGATGTTAGGTCTGGTGAAGACATCAGACTTCTTTCCCCAAAGGACAATACTGAACTGGATAGATTTTCACAACAATCCAGCTGCAGGGTCCTCATTTCTCACAATAGCTTTCTATTCCAGATTTACTTGGCTCATTGATCATGTTTACAGATCATTAACGTAACCCACTGGATTACCAATCCAGTAACGTCACCACTGTGTTATTATATCATATCATACGTCTCAGCAGGAATACTGTATAATCTCTGGGCTTCATACTTTAAAAAGACAATAAAATGATGGCACCGAGGGGAATGTACTAATACGGAGAGAGAACTTAATAGACTGAAAGCAGAGAGTAAGAATAAACGTATCCTTCTCAGGATGGCCGGTTGTGAATAATGAGGGCAGTGCGAGGTCCACAGCCATTCACAATCTGTATCAGTGATTTGGGTGTGGGGACCAAGTGTAATATTCCAGGTTTACTGATGACACCAAACTGGGTGGGAATGTAAATTGGGAAGAGAGTGCAAGGATGCTGCAAAAAGACTCGGACAGTCCAGGTGAATGGACTCAAGCACGGTGTATTGTGAATAAGTGTGAAATTCTCTATTTTGGTCAATAGAACAGAAAAAACAGAATATTTCTTAAATGGTGAGAGTTTGGGAATGCAGGTGTCCAAAGGAACCTGAATGTTCTCATTCATGGTCACTAAAGTTTACCATGCAGCTGAAGCAATCAAATAGAAAGACATACATTAACATTGAAGGAGATTTGAGTCCAGGAGAAAAACATTTTTCCTTTTAGAGATATATAGAGCCTTAATGAGACCTCACCTGGAGTACAGTATATAGTTTTGATCTCCTTATCCAAGAAAATATATAGTTACCATGGGTGGGGGTGATTGGGGTGGGGTTGTTGGTTGACATGGATTTCACCAGATTAATCATCGGGGTGACAGGACCATTTTATGAGGACAGGTTGAGGAAATTGTGTCTGTATTATGTAGAGTTTTGAAAAATGAGAGATCTCATTAAAACTTTATAAAATTCTTGAAGGCCATGACAGGGGTGGATGTTCCCTCGAGCTGGTGACTCTAGCACCAGGGAACATAATGTCCGGACAAGGGACAGAACTGAGATAAGGAGGAATTTATTCCCTCAAAGACAGAAATTGATAGTTTTTTTCAGATGAATGTCATTATAGGATATGGAGATAATGCAGGAAAGTGGCATTGAAGAGATGTTCAGCCAAACAAGGTAGGCTTGATGGGCTGAATGGCCTGCTCCTGTTCTTACATTGTTTTGTATGGAAAAAGCAGGAATTCCGTGAAGGAATAACTGCATTATAATAAGTCTTTAAAAAAGGTGTTAGGAGAAAATTGAAGTTGCCTTTACATTTTGGATTTAAAGGTCTCAAGAGATTCCAATGAAATGTTCTGGGTTGCAGTCACTTTTTTAAATTCACTCAAAGAATATGCGCATCTTTGTCTAGGCCAGCATTTATTGCCCATCCCTAATTGCCCAGAGGTCAGTTAAGAGTCAACCACATTGCTGTGGGTTTGGAGTCACATGTAGGCCAGACCAGGTAAGGACAGCAGTTTCCTTCCCACTAGTGAATCCAGGTGGGTTTTCCTGACAATGTCATCATTAGACCTTAATTCCAGATTCTGTAAATTGAATTCAAATTCCCCTATCTGTGGGATTTGAACCCAGATCCCCAGAATATTAGCTGAGTTTCAGCATGAACAGTCTAATCATAATACCACTAGGTCATTGCCTCCCCTGTTGTGATGGGAAGAGGGGCAGCTGCCTGCATATAGAAGTGGACTGAAACAGTGAGCAAATGCTTTGCCTTGGCCCAGATTTTCCGATGGACAAACAGTCATTATGCAGGTGGATATGGGAGGTGTGCAAAGGGAACCTGTGGAATCCCCACTGTAGCACTCTCTGAAGGAATGGCCCAGGAAACTGAATTTTTTGCTGAGAAATTCCTCTATGCCTGGAACCCTCTCAAAATGTATCCATAAAACTTGGGGAATCCAGAGGATTCCAAAGAAATTAATTGATACAGTTACTCAGGAGGAGTTGAACTATTAAATGCCCAATCTAACTCCTCAGTAACTAATAAACAAACCACATACTTACTCCACGTAGCTCCAAGTATATGTAGAATCAACACCTCCTTCCCCCATAACTAGACATGATCCACCAATTACCCTGCTCCACATCGGACCTCACCGCCCAATCAAATGGTGCACCCATGACCCAACGCTAGACCCACACCCGCCCACCCCTGCTGGACTGGACCAGGACCCCCCTCTGGACCGGACCAGGACCCCCC